ACTCACGGGGGTGGTGGTATTTGAGCAGCGCCGGAGTATTTACAAGAGCATCTCCGACACTCAATCGCAATTATTTCCTCATTATCAGGTGATTGTCTAACCCTACCGTTTGAAACATTGAATACGCATTTTCCTTTCTGGTTAAAATTCTTAATCTGTCTTTTTTCCCTTGAAAATTGGGTTTCCAATTTCTCAACTTTAAAATTTTTTTGCTTTACGTGTTCGTCTATTGAGGAAACGCATGTGCTTAAGTTTTATTGCAAATGTATAAGAACATTACGGATGAAAGACATATTTACATGTTTAGAAATTTAAGATCATTTAATGAGAATACTTTTTGTGGGCATTTTAGATATGAATAATGGCCTCTGATCTTGTAGGCAAAAATGTTTTGAATTGGTTACAGGTAGCATATATTACACTGTAAAGAGCATAGTTTTGGATTATAGGCTTTTATTCAGATGAACTCATATTCATGTCTTTTACCCAAATACACTGTGTTTACTTTAACTCGTGACTCAGATCAGCTTGTTGTTCACTTTAACCCACCTTATATCATCTTAATAAAATACCTATTACTGCTTCAGTCAGTGGCGTATCCACTACGGGGGTCAGGGGCAGCGGGGGCAGCTGCTCCCACTCAACCCCAACCCCAACCCCAACCCCAACCCCAACCCCTATATATATAATTTTATTGAAAATTGTTCAAAATAAGAGTTAAACATAGAAAAAAATCTAAAATATGATTAAGAGTGTTTTATTTCCTAAATATAGGCTTTATGTATTCTTATTCTAAGAATAAAGGATAAAAAATTCACTAAATTTTATTCCATTATATTTAACTTCATTTTAGATAATATTATCAAATTTTATCTATAATTGCATATTTGCACACACATAATATAAATTGATCTTTTTTATATGTACTTATGCATATATATCTTCAACTAAATCTAATCAAACAATATTAATAATGTGATTTGCTACTTGTGAAGCATGTGACTAAGTTCTAGTGTAATTTTGCCCCACTCAGAATATTTTCTGGATACGCCACTGGCTTCGGTTATACCAGCAAAGCTTTTTATAAGCCTATAACATGCACCAAAATTAATGGCTTGAGCTCTAGGCCCAAGTCCCAAGTCCATCATATTGATAACCATAAAGTGCAATGGGGGGGGGGGGGGGGACAAATGTGAAGGCCCAAGTCCAACCCCTCAAGTTTAGGACAATAGGACATACACTCCGCAATTTGATCTTTTAAGCTACTGATAGTGCATATTTAGTCCTGTGAATTCAAGAGGTTCAGTCAGACAGTCACTACTATCTGAATATCAATTCTTTTTTACTTGATAATCAGGTAATGAGCTTATGAGCCATTTAGACAAATACACCCTTTCATTAGCTCTTTTCTTAAAGCAATGTCGCTTCTTGGGTGGTCAAGGAAAATGACATCTAGTTACTGTTTAACTTTAGTGTTGAGGACTTTGAGATAATAGCTCAAATCCAGTGAGCGAACATACGTCCATACCATGGACCACTAATGCAGAACAGTTCATCAGAGGTCTAAATACAATAGTGACCAAAGCCAGGTCAGGCATAACCATTTTTATGGGCTGGATAAAGATGGATATTCCTCCCATCATTATCCAGCACCTATAAATATCCATCATGCATGTGCTCGCTAAAGAATTTGATTATGAACCACATTAGATCTAGATTATGACACCCTAGGTCCCACATATGTGTAGATTATTTCATGTGTAATAGTACAAGATTCCCTATTTAGTGCGTGCTATAAATGTTTCTATTATTTTGTTTTACTATTTTCTAGCCAGTCTCACATGATCATATCCCAATTCCTACGAAGCACGGCTGTGCAACATAGATCATCTCACATCTCAAAATTATAGGAAATTATATAAGTCGAATAGGGGCTGTATGATTGTATCTGGCCCTTTTTATTAAGTCTTTACCGCCTGACCTTAGGTTATTAAATTTGATTATCAAATACGATGCAATACTTATTCATATACTACTCTAATGCATATTATGATTTTATCTCACTGTGTGCTTTGTTTGGTGTATGTACACTTTCTGCATGCATCACATAAGATGTTTTTGCACCTCATACTGTACTTATGAAATCTGGGAAGGTAAAAAGTTTAGATACAAGTGTTAGTGAAATGGAATTGATATAAATCATTTAATTACACAGTTAATAAGGTTACGGTCCAAGAGAAATTTAAAGTCTTTATTAAACTTGTATTGGGATTTGGGAATAAAACCCTATACCTTTGTTTTTGGGATAATGCAATGAAAACGTATTGCTTTTGGCCTTTTGCCTATTCATAGTTTCCCTGCATTTTGTAGCTAGCATTTTCCCTCAGCATTTCGTAGATAGCATTTTCCCTCGCCACATTACCTCATAGTTTTCCATCATTTTCAATGGAGCCAAAGACTCATTATTTTTTGGCTTGGGAATATGATGGAATAAAGCAAAATGACTCACTAAACTGTCTGCGCTTCTTTGTTATGAAGTAACAGTCAGTCTATGCAATATTCGACGCGATTTTCACTATGGGTCATTCGGAAACAGTGTCTCTGTGTTTTAGTACATGGGTAAGACTGCGTACATCCCACCCCCCTTACCCCACCGTAGTTGGGAGCCTTTGCGGCACTGGGGTAATGATAATGATGATGATGATGACATTACCCCATAGTTTATAAAAAGCAGGTACCAAGGGGGCACCTGACAACATGTATTTTTTCATTCAAGCATCTGGTTATTTTAATAGATTTGACCCCTCCCCTCCATTTTGATTAGAAATATTAGTAGAAGTGTGTTAATTATTTGAAGTCAGTTGGTGTAAATAAGTAATGGGGATGTCAAGACATAGAACTATAATCGTAATTAGTACAAAAGTTACTCGTTTTTATTCAAAATCCCAATTATTTGGATGTGCTCTTCTTACATAGAGAAATCTAGAGAAACGCGCTTTCAAATTTCAAATGGCAGGGATGTTCCTTTACTGTGGAGGCGGGGTGGGCCTGTAGGCTGTAGCTCAGAGGATTAGAGCACCTGGACCAAAACTATGAATCATGGGGTTGTGGATTTGAATCCCTCCTTGCCCACAACTGGACCAAAAGCTAAATACTTTTTCCTCCGTGGTTAGGACCAATAATGAATGGGATAACGAACCCAGGGTTAGATCATTATATTATCAGATTAGATTATCAGAAAAAATTCAAAAATGAACATTTTATTACAATTTTTAAGGTTTTAATTTTAATAAAAAGAACTGGCTCAAATAAGCAATAAAGCACTAGACTTATAGAAGATTTACTGTTCAAGAAAAATACTACGTAAGAGTGTTTTTAGATATTTTAGATATTTAGATAAAATGGTCCTCCCTTTTTTGTAACTTGCCCTTTTCCATAAAGTTGTGTATAATACACAAAGATGGTAATATATGCATTTTTTAAATTCAAAAGGGAAAACTGTCAAGTTGGTTCTCGTACTTTCATGAAAAAGATCAATCAAATCACTGAATTTTGTAAAAACGTTCAATTGAGTCCATTTGCAGGTTACTTGTCATGCCAGCAGGTCACACCCTGACGTGGCGCACATGTGGCAGCCCAATCAGCAATAATTTTTCTGACGTGCCACACATGTGGAACTGTGGAAGTCCAGTCAACCATTTGTTGATGACGTGGCACACACATGGGTCACCATGTTTGCGCCACATCAGCGAGTGAACTGCTGACGTGGCAAGTAACCTGCAAATGTACTCAATTGAACGTTTTTACAAAGTTCGGTGATTTGATTGATTTTTTTTTAAAGTACGAGTGCCTAATTGACTTTTTCATGAAAGTATGATGACCAAATTGACAGTTTTCCCAATTCAAAAAGACACTGGCTTTGCTTATTTTGTTAATTTCTATGTGCATTTTGATCTAAAGCACCACACTCATGTACCCCAGCTTGATAACCTCTAATCAGTGATTGCTAGTGTCTTTTCACAATTGATGACAAGATCCCGCTCATATAGCACACATTACTAAATCAAAGATTGAATGCAGATATGAAACTAGAAGTTCAAATCATCACAGGCAGACTCCTCCTAGAATAACTCTTGACTTTTCCCACAATTCCTAAAGTTTTTTTGTTTGGTTTTTGTACACAGAAAAAAGAACCTATCTTTGTGAAGGAGCCCAGCATTGAGCTTGCACACCTATGGAACAAAGCAGTGGATCAGATAATGGGACCCGTCATCAAGTCTGTCAGTTCACGTGGATGGTAGAAATCCTTATTCAGTTCTTGAGCTCTCGCGTACAATCTCATTACTATTGTTTTGGTAAAATTCACACTTTGTACTTAACCAAAGTAACTTTATTATTGTGCAAAGTGGACACATCGTCATTTTGCTTGTGTTAAGCATTTAGTTTGGGTTCATGTTCTGAAGAAACTCAGCTTTTTAAATTTACTACTATGTAATAATTAAAAGTACTGTTGAAACTTGAAAGTTAGATGTTTGATATTTTCCCTCTTTGCATGGAAGTGATCAGGGGGGAGTTTTCACTCATCTCATACCAAATTCTATGAGGTTGCATCAAAGTTGTATCTATTTTTGTTTTTGTTTCCTTTTGGTATCAATACTTCGAGTAGTGGGTATAATGGTGTGTGTGTGTGTGTCTGTGTGTGTATATATGTGTGTGTATGTATGTATGTATATGTATGTATGTATATCTTGGATAATCAGTAAGACATATTCTCAGCTACTTAGTGCCTTTATGCCTTTATTTGTTTATCAATACGTATTACGTAATATTAGTTGTTTGCTTCAAAGCAACATTTTTAATAGGTACCAAATTTGATACACTTCTCAATGTATTGGTCCTATGGAGATTCAAATTAAAGAATATATGTACCAACTCGATATGATGTGTAAAGTATTAGTTTGGAATAAGTGAAAAACTTATCAATAGTCTTATAGTCAACTGGTCATTATAGTTTGAGTCAAAGGAGGGATGAACAGCACAAACCAAAATCTATTACTCCGTATTTGTAGTTTAAGGTTTCATGTAGGTTGTTTGACAGCACAAAGACTATTATAACCAATCACAACTAATTATAAAGTCATATCTAAAGCATTAAAAGCAAAGCCGGTAGAATGGGAAAGGGGGTGCATGCATGAAGCCTCTGCTGCTGCTCTCAAACTTCTGCTTTTGCCATTAAAGAAGTTTCCTTGTTCAAATTTCTGTTTTTGATCACCAGAAAGAAAAAACTGCTGAGTGTGAAAAGAGCAGCAAAAGCCAAGCCTATCAGAATCCAGGCTCCAGCTCCAGCTCTGTGGCTTCTTGCTCCCATGCTATCACGAGCTATATTTGACTGGATCGAAGAAGCCGCGGGAATTGGTGAGCATTCTGAATCCGATGATGATCCATTACATTTTCGTCCTCTATTATAGTGTTGAGCATCGGGGTGGAAGAATGCATATGCTTCCGGTGAGATAGCAAGCGGCATAGCATAAGCTAGACCATGTGGCGATCGATTTTGAGCTGCAATGAGGTGTGGTATCAACGTAAGTGCAAACAAAAGAGCTGAGCCAGACGAAGAAAAAGAAGCCATGGTTATGGTCATATGTTCTGTGCTATGTGTCCAAAGTTGTTTGAAGGTGCTGAAATGATAATTGCTGTGCTGGCAGAGGTTTGAATATTGAATGTTTTCACTTTGGAAGGATTCTTATATAGTTACATATAAGCTCAAATTTGGTGGTAGTAATAATGATGATGAGGTGGTTGTGGACTTGTGGTTGCTTAAAGTAGACTTCATTGCAGAATGCAGAAGGCAAAAGAAAGAGGGAACCAAATGATAGGAGTATTATCTGCACTTAATGGTTTTCTTCTCTACTCCATACCTGCGCATTCCATGTGGAGTTCACTTGGAAATAATATCAATGATTTTCTTGTAAGAGTAAAGCTAAATTTAAGGTTAAGTCTTTGTTCTAAAAACTTTATTTCAAGTTTATTATTTTCTTAGTATACCAAAAGACAGTGGACGCTTGTGAGGTGGAGGGAGCACAAAGTAACAAAAAATATAATTAAATTAAACTTACAACCAATTAGTGTGCATCGCATTATTATGGGATTAGGTTTTCACTAATGTAGGATTATGCTTGAAGTTAAATGGGGTTGATTGGCTTAATGTTCCAGCAAATTCCATAACCTCTAATTGCATATGATAAATACGAATGGAACAAAAGGAGTACTTTTTTTCTTTACAACATGAGTGGCTTTGCATTTTAAGGGAAAGAAAACGCATGCTAGAAAAATGAATGCACTCGATCTTAGGCCACCCAAGTCCAATTGTCCCACGAAGAACAAAGTAACTTCTTAAAATCATGTCTCCCGCATGAACTGTCACACACATTAATACTTTATCCGCGCAAAATAGTTCTCAGTTTTCTTTTTGGGTAAATCCCAAAAAATTGTTTTCATTTTCCTTTTTGGAAAGTTTTGTGTGGTTACCGTTTATTTACATTTTTCTTACTTAATCACAATAATATATTTCCACTTTATTCACATTTTCTTAATCTCCGATCCAAATGCTTGTAGGAACTATTTTATGGGACAAAAGGAGTACTATTTTGGTATTGGAGTACATTCTTTTAAATTAATTCTAGTTTTTGTCTTAGGATGTACTCCTTTCATCTCACTAATATTGTCTCATTATACCTTTCTGGAAATCTCATTAAAATTGACCCATACCAAATTTAAATAATATTTTGTGGCTCTAAAATATTCTTACTTTATCAACAATATCAATCACATAAACTTACTTATCTTAATAACCATGTCACCTCGTTTTGTCCCAATGTTGGTGGAACGGAGGAGATTATTTATTTATATATAATGTTGGTGACACTGTTTTTTACGGGAATAGTTCCATGGGCCTTGAAGATGGCGATCACTCGATCGGGTAATTATCGGCCTTTGATGAAGTGGATTTAGATTTTAGACTTCAATAGTTGAATAAATTTTATTTCGTATATCAAGAAAACACTTGATGTTCATGTTCGATGATGGATATTCATTATAAATGTTGATGGACGTTAAATATTCATGATATTCAAGAATATATCAAATAAAGCATACAATAACACAACATTTGATGGAGCAATTTTTAGTTATACATACCCCAAATGAAGTGTTGTGCTAATGCATGAGGAAGGGGATACACAAATGAAGTGTTAGGCATCCAAGATACGTAGTACTACGTGTTATATACCCCCTCCGTCCCGCTAACAATGAGACAAAAGGGAGTGACACACAAATTAATAAAAATTGGTTTATGTGGTTGATATTGAATTTATAAAGTAAGAATGATTTAGAGCCACACAAACTTTACCAAATTTGGTATGAGACAGTCTTATTGGGACGGATCGATAAAGTAAAATGGGATAATCATAACGAGACGGAGATAGTATTATATTTATGTAAAAACTACTACTCCCTCTGATCCTTAATTAATTTTACACTTTCCTTTTTGGGTCGTCCCATATTAAACCTTACACTTCCTTGTTTGCCTTATTTGGCAAACAAATCTACACCAAACAGTGCAAAACAGTGCCAAACAGTGTCAAACAGTGTCAAACAATGTACTCTACAGTAAAGTCAAATTTATTTCCTTAATATGTGTGAAGTCAAACGGTAAAGTTTAATAAGGACCGGAGGGAGTATTGTAATTTAAAGACGTCCTTTGCGCACCACCACAATTGCTAGGCGGGCCTCTACTTTTTTACTATTGGACCAATTTGTCCACTTGCAGTCTTGGTCAAGGGAACTCACGTAGCAACTCACGTATAGACCTGGACAAAATCGGGCCGGCCCGCCCAACCCGTCCGCACAAATGGGTGGGCTGGGACATATATATTTACCCACCGGGCCGGCCTGAGCTCGGCCCGCAATAAGATATGGGCGGGTTTGGGTTAGGGTGTAGGCCTGTTCGGGCCGATAAGCCCGGCCCGCTACATTTAGTGTGTGTGTGTGTGTATATATATATATATATATATATATATATATATATATATATATATATATATATACTAATTTATTTATTTATTTGCATATACACATGTATATTTATATTTACTAATTTTTCTTTATACATATTTATAGTTTATTATGTTTAAATTTAAATTTTTAATTCTTAACAACTAGCCCAACCAATATAATATCTATTTTTGTACTTAAAGATAATACTTTGTGCTTAAATTTTAAATTTTAGATATAGTTTCTCATTATTATTTTTGTGTAAGTATTTTTTTGTATGTGGTGAAAGACTTATAAACATTATAAGCGTATTAATTATTTTTTAAATGTTGTAATACTATTTTTAAAGTATTTAAAAAATCATATAATTTTGAAAAAATTAAAGTTTTCCTGGACCGGGCGGCCCGGTGGACTACCTGGCCCGCTCTTATGGGCGGGTATGGACATAGGGTTAGGCCCGTTTTGTGGGCCGGGCCGGGCCCGCCCACACATGATGGGTAGAAAATTTATAAAAAGCCCGGCTCGAGTCCGGTCCGAACCCGTTTTTGTACAGGTCTACTCACGTAGTACACTAATTTTTTCAAATTTGTCTTCTTTCCTAAAGTTAAATCTCAAGGGAAAAATCAATACACTTAATAATGGCGTTAGATTTCCTTAAATGTTTTTAGCTTTATACCTAAAAAATAATTAGGTTTTAAAAATACTCATAATCCTAATAGATTACAAATTCCAACTTCCACCAAATATAAAAATAATAATAACACGGTATAATGCTCTTATAAGTTTTTTACAATCTTCTTATACAATAGAGAATGAATCTGAAGATTGTCTAGAAAATTGTACTCTTGACTTTCATTCTTAGTTATTTTTTCCCTAGAATGATGAGGTAATTTTTTTTATAATAATCACTTCATCTTTCCCACTTTTTATGTCTCAGTTTTTTTATCCGTTTCATTAAATTTATCGGATCCAATATTCGGTAATATTTGGGTGATCATATATACGATAGTACTTTTCATTCATCTTTGTATTGGATATTGTCTTTATTCTATTATCATTCACGGTAATACAAAGTAACTATAGTTTACACTTTTTAGGATGTTTTTATAATTTTACTCTATATGATCCCAGACCAAACCAGATTACATGTAAATAGACTACATCAAACTAACTTTTGATATCTGTATACCACACATAGAATATAAATCTAATATACCAGACCAGTTCAGATTAGACTAGACCAAACTTAAACAGATCAAATTGAATGAGATCATACCAGATTTGAGTAGACTAGAAAATTTTAATTCAATTAAAAACATCATTAATGGTAGTATAGTTATAAATTAATGTGTCATAATAAATGTATTCCTCTATATTTTAGAATGTCAATTTAATACTACGAAAATCTTTATTTGTCTAAAGTTTTTAAATATTACTCCGTAAATACAAATAAAGTAATTTTAGTCATGTTTAAATTTGTAATGTAATGAATATTTTCACTTCGATCTAACTCGTTTTAGTCTCATATCAGACTATACAAGTAATGTCTTAGATATTAGTAACAATGTACTGGACTAGATCAAATCAAACTAGAATCAAATGTGTAAATGCTTAGACTTTTTAGAAAAGATATTCCATTCTTTGAAATTCGAGAAATTATATTTTGATTATTATTTTAAATTTTTTTCCAAAAATATTACTAAAAAGATCTATGGACAAAAAGTGACTATAAATTACTATGTGTAAGTTTTACAGTCGATGTAACATTTAAATGACTATAAACTTAAGGCGCACACATGTGTTCCAAATGTAAAATATAAGAAGTGCAATTTTTAAATATATTTTTATGTGTAAATTTAATGAGTTATTAATTTTGCAAACTGATAAGTATGTATTGCGAAGTTTTAATGAACAAGACTTTTACTATGGAGTATAAAGTTTTTTCCCGGAATAATGCTAATTAAATAAATAATTCCCGAAATACTGCCGGGTTAATAATAATTCATAAAATATTGCTGTGGTTAACCACGATTAAGGAAAGCCGCCACTCCAAGTGGTGGCTCTTGTGTTAAGCAGTATGCTGGACTGTTTATTACACAAATGAACCAAATGAACCTGTAGTTAGCTGGAAATGTCCTCATCACAGTCCATTCTACTCAAACAAACAACCAAATATATGATTTACTAAGACAAAATACATTTGAAACACAAAACGAATCAATGAAACTCAATGCATTGCAACACTTGAAATAAACATAAAAGTGGTAATAAATCCGGTGTTTCACAAAATGATTCGATCTGCCAGTATATGTTACGACTCTCACACAATAATATAAATACAAAGATGATAAGTCAATGTGGTCATCATCATCATGATGTTCATGTGATTGTGGCTGTGCTCAGCGGCGCTTGCGCTGGTTACGAGGCTGAAGAACAACTCTATCACGTCTGACTGCCTGAGAAGACCCTGCTGTGGATGTTGATGTGGTAGAATGCTGAGAGTCGGCCATATATCCATAATCCACTCGACCCAATACATCAGCGCACAGAGCAACAATGCCCGAACAAGCGTCATGATATCCATGTATATCTACCGCCTCATCAAGTACAGCAGTCACTCTGTCATGGATGCTACGCAAAGCACGTGTCTGT